GTTGGACGAGTTTCACATTGGAAGAACGGCGGTTAAGGGAGTGTTCCGGCGAGTGCAGGAAGGCGACGCAATGTCTGCAATAGCAGACAACACACCCAAGCAGACAACTTCGCCCAGTGACGAACGGCAATTGGATTTCGTAGTCAGCCTAGCGAGGGAGGGAGGCCTCCCGTCCCCCACTGTTCCTGCCCTTATTGTGCCCTATCCAGACCGTTTTCCGACCCCATTCTTGCCCAAATGGTATCAGAGGGGGCGTCGAATTCGAAACATGTGCAGATCTCCGAAACCATTTTTTCGTGAACAGTGCCTTTAAGGTAGCACATGGGACGCTGGTCGAGAAAGGGCTATAGGACGTCATAAGGGCCCTGAAACCGGCTTAGCCGACGCACACACCTAAAGGAGATGGACTTCTCTCGGCGATGTAGGGGCTGCAGAGGTTGCACCATTCGCACCGGGACGCACACGTCGCATGCAGGCAGCTTACTGTAGTCTGCTGTACGCAATGGCATACACATTTGGACAGCTCGCCCAAATACTCCTTCCATGCAACATTTGTCGCCCTCATTCTTGTCCAATCCCTGATTTACCTGCTTTTTCGAAGTTTTATAATGCTCTAATTGTGCCAGTTTTGCATTTTCTTATCCCTTTTCACTGCTCTAGACTATTGCTTTCGATATGTATTTGTAACTATTACAGCTACCCCAAAATTATCGCGAACTATGACTTTAAGTTCCTACGGCCGTTATGCTAAATTTGTCTCCTCAAGCAAAGAAAATTACTCGACCTTTTATCTGATGTTTAGACACCAACTAGATGAAGCATAAGTTGTAACTGATCTTATTATTGTTCGATTCGCCGTAGCCGTTGTTGCGCTTTTAATGAGGCGAAAGTCAGTACGGAGGGTCAGCAGATCCTGCCATTCTATGAGTACATTTGATCTCCCTTCAACCTATAGTTTTTGAACCGCCGGTAGCGGTCTGATTTCGGACAAAGTATAACCTTGCCAGCCGCTCAAGAACCAAGATTGAACGTTGTTTCTTCGAAGCACTAGACACACTCGAACAAGGCGTGTTGCACTGTACTCTCTGCGCGGCGAATCCTACTTAGATGTCTCGTTGCGCTGAACTTTTGCGTTGGTCATCTTAGATAGCTGCATCGCCGCGCGACGTGCCTTTCGAGTCTAATCAATTGCTAGGCCAAAACAATGCCCTTTGCGCATAGCAATATTGTTGCAAATTTCCCAGATTGATAGAAATCCACGGTTTTTTTTCTACTGCATCATTGTGATTTGATTTAAGGATTACCTCGCGTATCATCATACTGGTCAAATTATCCCGGCTGTTTGGTTCAAGTACGGATTACAGCCGATAACAGTGAAGCACACAGAATCGCGCATATCATTCTACTACTTTCTTACTTCAGTAAGTCAGCTACACCATACGTCTTTTTTAGTTATAATTAGGGATGAATCGTATTTCATTCCATAACCTTTCTATTTTTTCCTGATTAGTCTTGTGCATTTGCGAAATATGCACGTGAATCTGCATTAGTTCCATTTGAAGTAGTCGAGTACCGAGTTGAGCGCATGAAAATTAGTTCGAGAAATTTGTGAATTAGTGCGCGACTCTGATTGGAGAATTGTCGAACTGCGCCTTGAATCAACCAATAATGAGTGTGATGAGCACACCAACCTCCAGTGATCAATCAGTTATGTACCTACTATCTTTGAACAGCTCGTTTCTTTAACAAGCCTTTCTGGTGCAGATTTTTCAAGTGATCACTTTTGAAAAAGTAAAATATGTATTGTTCAAGATATGTGCCGTCGTGGGAGGGACGTTCACGGTGGCTGGTATTATAGACTCAACGTTCTTTACGATCTCAGAGCTTGTCAGGAAGCATCAACTCGGCAAACTGTCTTGACAGACCTTCAGCAAATCGCCTTACCTGACCGCCAAAGTGCTTTGTTCCTTGTTGTTCTATTTATTGGTCGTTAATTTCTGTGAATATTATGGGTAAATTCGTTAGCAATAAAAGTACTTTATAGATTTTATAATCAGATTGGATGAATTCTTACTTTCTAACAATACTTAAAGATATATGGAGTATTTCTATACACTAAAATTTGTTTCCTTTCATCTTGATAATCCCAGTCCGTAGCGTGATGCTCCTCCTCTGCATTGATGGGAACTGTTTCAAGCGGGAATTGTTTTAGGCTATGGTTCTTCCTATAGCTGTGTGTTTTTATTTTTATTTTTTGAAAAAGACATTTATTGTGTATGAACATTCAGGAATGTTCCCTAACAGTACACTCTCTACACTAATAAAATTGTATTATTCTCACTTTAAATATGGCTGTAAGGGATTAGAGCTGAACGGGAAAGCGAAATTTTTGAACCCCAATTATAGAATTTTCGAACAGGTAGTAGAGAACAGTAGTTCTGCTTACCGCAGTAAGCAACGACTGCCTTTCCTGGTTAGTCATGTTAAAAGAATTCATCTACAATTAAAATCGATCTTAATCACTCCACTTTTTGATCCCCCTATCACGATGGGTGGTCTGTCCCCTGCTCGTTTTATTACTCACGATGCTTCCTGGAAAAGTTTCAAGCTGGTCCTGGCCCAATTTATGGTCAATCCTCTATGGCATTTTTATTGCAGAAATTAACTACAGATTATTTTAAGGTTCCCAATGTTCGTTTGTCTGTGTTACTTTTTTTTTGGTATAGTACATTCGAGGCTCCGCTGAGAGATTTAGGGTTCTTTTCCTAAAGTGCTTATATGACACTAATAGAATTTCATTCTATCTGGAATTTCGTTCGGCGAGAAATTTGATCTGCGAAATCGTTTGGCGGAGGGTACTGTATCAGGCAACAGCGTAAGATCGATGCGCCCCAGAAACGAGATCGGGAACACGCTAATCTTTCAGCGTGGATTATGTCAACTTTCTAAAAGTAGAAGATGATTGGACCTTTTTCTCGATTTCGACATTCTGTCATTAATGCTGTAGGGAGGAAAATTAGATGGCTTAAGTTCTCTGCAGTTTCAAAAGTTGCGGAATAAAAATAATCGACCTTAAAAGGACGGGATTTGTTTATCTTGTGTGTTGCTCTGTTTCTTCATCATCGTCATCATCTTCATGATCATCATCATCATCATCACCTTATTCTTCCCTCGTTAAAGGCACCGTTCACATAATTTCGGGTAATCCAGATTATGATGAAAAATGGAAGACAAGATCGAAACTAGTGCGACTGAGGTGAAGATGCTGCGTGCATCGGTGTTTCCAAATTGAAAAAAAGGTTTCGAAAAAAGCGTTAAAAAGGGGGCTTGACGTGAATGAAACCAGAAAAATGAAGAAGGTTGGGGCGTCCGGACGAGCTAAATAGTGTGTTTCACTGCGCGCGTGTGGGTGCAAAAAGAAAAACAGAGGAAAGAAGAATGGGAGAAAAACATCGCCTCATCACTTGGTGATTAGCTGTTTGTGCGTGGGTCCTAGAACGAATAATAGCAATCTGTATTGTCTCGACACTCGTCTAACGTGACACCGATGGAGGGGCGGGAAAGCGAACTACGGCAACAACGGAGCTGCCACTATGCCCTGGACGTGGAGATGGGGGGAGTGTGAGGGCCCCTTCTACAACCCATGGGGGCCGCTGAGTGTTAATAAGGTAAGAACTCAATAACTTTTTTATCGTGAACGGTGCCTTTAAAGTAATCCAGCGCCAACGCAGGGTCGGTCGTTCTTGTACTTTGTTTGGCGTGATTGAGGAGTAAAGAACACTGTTTTGGTTAGAAAATTATATTTGGTATGTTCCACGTACGGCTTTTATGAACCTCGGCATAATTGTATTACTGTTTTATTGCTTTCTTGAACTGCTCACGAGTTTTGTAAATAAGCTTAATTAGGATGACGTTTTGGTGGAATCGTCTTCTTCAGAGCCTGAAAGGATCATAACGATCTGTGACTATCCAATCAAAGTTTCCACTAACCCACTAAAGTTCGAGACCCCCAGGGTTCGCAGGTGATTGAATGGAAGGTAGCTTCGTGGTTTCTTCGAAACCACCCAGCAAGAGCTAGTGCCAACAGACCAGTGTCAGCTGGAGTATGTCCTCACTCAAAATCTCTGCGGGAAGGCCAATCTATATGAGTTTGTTTACAAACCTTGTGAAGAGTGCAAGAAAACAATAAACTCAGTAATACATTCTTGATATACCATACTTCATGCTTTATTGTCTTTTAATAGCAGCACTCATATCGATTGAAGTGCACCATTACCGCCACGTTCTCTTAGGATGGGGTGCGGCAAGTAAATACCTTTGTAACTTGTATTTAGTCGAATTGCTTTGAAAGCCAATTCTCACAAATGTTGTGGCATCCAAGAAGATTGCTGGAGTTGCACCTTGGATGTTCAGCTCTGAGTATTAGAGCTTTGTTCGACATCTGTGGAGTTTTCCATCTTAGTAAAACTTTTAGGGGAGGAAACTTGCTCAGAACCACTCGATTGTCGAAGTAATAGACAATAAGTACAACTGCAGTGAAATATACTGGTTGAAATGGCTTATTTTCATTATATTTCTCATTCAAAGTGTTTTCTACGACGTGAATGGCAGCACACAGCCAGGAGACATTAACACAATCGATACGCTAGAGGACCTCAGAGCTCCAAGGCCCGTGCCAACCACACCCCTGGTCATTGCCCCTCTGATTCTCACTTGTGATATTATTGGAAGTATATCATGTCATCCAGTCAATATTGATGCCTTCAAAGGCGGATTTTCATGGATTTTGCCTCGTCGAAAGTCTCCCTGAAGGATTATCGAGATTTACAAGAAAAGGTGATTTCGATTGGTAATATTTTCCTTACAAAACCCTCATACGAATTATTTTATCCTACAATTGCTTTATTTTTGGTTACAACGAAATTACACTGTTCTATAGCAAAACGATTTTTAAAAATTGCTTTTGACAGCTCCATTCGGGAGCCCTTGTGATTCGATCGCAATATGAGACCCTATGATTTTGTCTTTTTTATTTTATTAGACTTTCCCAATTTTCTCAGTCAAGAATTTACATTTAAATTTTCAACTCACATATATGTCCCAAAAAAATAAAAGAGCTAAATTCTTACAGCCGTACCGATGTCTGTCCCTGAAAGTTGCTCATTTACTCTATCCGACGCTTGACTTCATGGGCCATAGCAGTTCACATGAATTTTGATAAACCGCACAGCTTCTGTTTCAAGTTCTGAATGACGGAGAGATGTAAAAACGCCGTCGAGGACTAGTGAAAGGAAACGGAGAAAGTGAGAGGGGAAATCGTTACAATAAAGTATACAACTGTTTTTACCGGCACCAACTTAGAGTCCATATGAGATGGGTATATGGTTTTTGGATTCATCCTGAAATCATCTTGATGCAATAAAACCTCTGGTGTCTGTCAGTAATGTCACGGTGGGAACGGTAGCTGCAGTGACTTGCTACAGCCTACTGTAAGAACTGTTTCTAAGCCAAAAGGTAGGGATAGCAAAGCGATGTTTTTCAATAAAGCAGTTATGCTCGTTTCTTCAAACTTTCTACGGACTGAGAAATCATAAACAAAACTTTAGACTTTGTACAAATCACTACTTTTTTATAAAGGAGAAGGGAGCCAGTTCACCGATCAATATCGACAATTTGCGGTCGCTGTGGTTGAGGATGGCACGGAAGTACCTCCCTCCCTCTTTAGACACTAGACAGATTCCTCTTCTTTTGTAAGAAAAATTATTTTCAGGTACATCAACTTCAGTCTAAAGTCGACAGTAAGACTGAAACTATCGTGAGATTAGGCAAAGATCTCGAAACCTTACAAGATGAAAATCGCATGATCAAAGCCAGATCACTCACTTTGGAAAGGAACCTGGAACGGGTAGAAATGGAAGTGCACAAGTATGCTGCTGTGAGTTAATGTACAAGTACCATCTCCTGATCAATCTTTCAATATCCCCAATGTTTCCTAATTTTTAGCGATTGATCAGTGGTTCCTTTCTCATCCTATGTACTTATCCTAACCCCCCCCCCCCCCTTTGATTTCGTTTACTCTATCGAGGGCTCTATATTATCCTTGTCTCTCTCAGAACGTTTTTCTATTCATTCTGATTTTCCCGTACTTTTTCTTGTTTCTGTCTTCATCAGAGTTGCTCAACGCTTTCACCAATTTGACGGTACAGGTTTTTCTACATTCTACTTTTAGTGGAGCACGTGGTCATCCTAAGGGAGATGAAACTGATTTCAGAATGAGATTGATATCAAGACTAGCTTCAAGTTGGAAAAGCAGAAACTTATGGACGAGATTGAGACCCTTCGAAAAGACTTATCCGCTGCGCAAACGGAAAACGCTGAATTGAAAGCGGAGAAGATTGATCTTCAGAAAGACTGCAAGCTTTTTAGGCAGAGAATAGCCAAGTTCGAGGTTCACTTTTATTCCATTCCTTTAACTAAATCCCTCTCCAACGTCTAATCATTCATGTGAACGCGAGATTCTTCTGATTTCAGCTGTTTACTTACCCCACCCTTAGATCGTCCATGACAGTTACCAGCAAATCGACTGCTGATACAAACATTTTCAGATTGCCAATTTGGAAAGTCCATGCACTTCAAAAGAGGACACCACATCTCTCCGTGGGAAGAGTTCTGAAGATACCGGAGCTGATGGATTGGGAAAGTACGAAAAGTTGTATAAAGAAGTGAGTCACGACGGTTATTATCTGTTTGTTAAAAGACCCGTTCACCGCGCCTGCTTTCGGGCTCGGCTAACCACCGATCAATCAGTCGAAGGTGTAGAGCCCAGGAAGTTTCCGCTCCTTATTCGAATCTGTCCAAAACTCTCATATCACTGTTCACATGGGACTAATGGGCTGCTTTCAGTTCAAACAGATCGAAACGGATCTACACACGGTACTGGGAATAAAGGAAGAACTTGTTATGGAACGTGATGCATTAGTGAAGAAAGTGGAGCGCTTAAGTACAGAAATGTCATTTCTGTTGAATGGGGATCCACGACGTGTAAGTGTGTTATCAGTTCACCTATTAAATTCACTTATTGTAGAGAAGAACATGGTAACTGAGCTCATCCATGCAACCATACTGCCCAAGAATGCTACTTTATGCGCTATGTGATCCCTGGACTCAATTGAGTACAGTGCTTTTTGACTGGGAATGTTTTTGAAGAGGGTGACTTTTTCAGGTAGCTGAAGACCTGGACACTTTAGTAGCTGAAAACCGTTTTCTAAAAGCACGACTTGATTCTGCAAATGAGGAAAGTGAAACAATGAAGGCTACCTTATCAAAGTACCGAGCAATGACTGAATCTCGGCCATCGACGGTAAGTGGCTTTATCGATCGCAAGCACCATAGTTGTGAGAAAGTCGGATTATGGTTAGCCAAAATCCGCTAGGACGTTCTATGGCTGGCACTAGAATTTCTAGTTTTCTAAAAACGTGGCTGAACTCGAGATCAGAAGAAATACTTAGCGTTGTCTGTAGTTCTACCCCTTAATGAGTAACGCGAGTTATCCTTTTCGCACAGTATTCTTCAGAAGGACAAGCCTGAACATGGTTTGTGCTTGATGGGAAGTGAGAGGCTGGAAGGAAGGGTGAACGGGAGGCTGAGCGATGAAATTCTTCCCAGACTTGCCACCCTCGAGCTATTTGTCAAACTCATGAAAGCGGAACGAATGTGTGTGATACTACATGGCTGCCCGATGGATAGAGCGATCCAGTGCTGGGATGGGGTTTCTATTTGAAAATTCTACTGTGTCACCAGACGACGCAGTACTCGGAAGTAAGGTTAATTTCTTTCCTTGTAAGCATACTTGAAAAGTAAAGAGGAACTTATCTGTGGTAGAAATGCTCCGCACTGATGCGTAAGTGTCAGGGTCTCTTCCAGTTGAGTGTTCGTTTCTTTTGATGTGCTTTTCACATTCCTTTCATGACACATGTTAATTTCTTAACTGGCTCGCTCGTCCACTGCACTGAGAAGTCATACCTTCGATGTGACAAGTTGGTCCAGCTTAGAAGTAGCTGATGTCTCTAATAGTTTTTTTTTTACCATTAATTGTGCTTCGTTCCGGTAAAAACTCTAAAAAAGCCTTAACTGTTTTCTCGACGTTCTCGCATATAGAAATTTCCTACTATTTGCTTCCCTATCCTACCTATTCACTTAAAGCTTCACGTGGGCGTTTAAGCTGAAAGGGAGTAACTTACTACAGCAAGCTACATGTAATGAATATAAACTATATATTCTATAATGAACGAAACTCGTTCTTGATTTATTCCGGCTACTTTGAGAGCTTCGAATGGTGGGAGATAAGTGAGTGTGACTCGACTCAAGGTAGGGAAGGGAGTACTGGAGACTCATTTGCACAAACGACACGTAAAACTATTGCTGCTGACGGATGTACCAAATTATGTGGCCTACAATGTAGTGGGATCGTTTACCATCTATCGAAGATTCGGTAGTTATCGAGTGGGAGGATGGCGGGAAAAGGAGTTGCGTAGAGCCGGCAGTCAAGTAGCATGCTCATGGATTGATCGACCCACTCCCTAAGGGCCCATTTTGCAATCCCATGCCAACCCATAGATCACTCAAAAAGAAGACCGTGTTAGTCATAATTCCATGGCTCTTTCAATCAATATGTATCTATGTAGTTGTTTATTGAAGGCCATGATACCGCAAAGTCGCAGACCACCAATGATCAATTTTTTGGCTCAGAATTGGACAGTGAGGGGTAGAGCGTTGCGAACCATCTCCCATATATAAATCTGTGGGAAGGCACGGCTGGACCCATTGGCTTTCTTTTAATTCCATCGAAATTCCTGTCGTTGTACTGTTGAATATTACCGCATTTCAAGTTGTCTTTTGGCTTTTCATAGAACGAAACTGAACGTCAAATTTAGGCGAATCCAACGGTCAGTCAAGATTCTTCCCTCGGAGAGAAAAGTAGTGTGGCTGTCGTCAATATGAAACAAAGTACGTTCATGTTTTATCAAATTCATTTCATACATAAGCTTCATTCCATAGCGTTTTCACACGTAAAATACAAATCACCGGCTATTTTAGTAACTACTTTACAATTGTAACAACAACAGTGTTGCAGTACGTGAACTGCTTTCATCACACGCGATCAAACTTGACGACAATGATTACAAAGCTATCACAGCCATTTTGCTCGATTTGTGCAATGACAAGCAAATGGCCCTGACGCATCTACGTAGAGCTAATAAGTAAGTTTTGGTAAAAGTAACCTAAATATCTGTCAACTTTTTCATATCACTAACAATAAAAAACTTCAGAGTTCTCGGCAATCGAGTAAATGAAGTAGAAAGTCACTTAGCCGTTCTAGAAGCGAAATCAAGGAGTACAAGTCCTAACAAACCGTCATAGTGAGTAAATATATGCAGTTTCGATTATATTATTGATTACCGGCACTAGTACATATCTGATCGATATGGAGTTCTATATGCACAACTTATCAGAGAGAGGGGGGAGGGGGGACGATATTATGCGACTGTCTTCATAGAGCTCCGAACGAGTCGGCGTTCTGGGCAGGGCGTCTCCAATAATATTGAATTGATCCTAAACCGGACGAGATGACGTGTCAAAAGGTCCATCCCTAATCGATAGTGATGACTCTTACCTCCGCCGTCTTTCACATGCTTTAAATTTGAAATGACATCGGTTCCTATACATATTGCCATGTTGGTCGCATACCAGCTCATCAGGTATACCTTCACAGTTGTTGGCACAACATGCCCCTGAACAACAACAGCGATCACGAAGTACTTCAATGATTCAACCGATTTACACGTCAAGAATTGTGATGAGACTGATGTCACGAAATTGGAGAAAAGGGTAATAGCCGGTTTGGTCGGATAGACGTGTCAAACATTGTCAGCTATTACAAAATGATCTTTGAGAAAGAGCTATTGGAGCATAACTTGACCAGAGCCCATCTTAAGGCATTGTCAAGTGATCATTAGGGCAATTGTACTTTCGCCTTGGCACGCAACTAGTGGGACGGTGATCCCGGTTTTCTAATGAATGCCTTAGTTCCTAGCGATTCGTCCGATCCCTTCTTTCGCAGTTAATTGAAGTGCCTTATTGGAAGTTAAAAAGGCTCACCATTGTAGTCGAGATTTATCGGACTATTTGGATGGATTTTATCGTGTATGCATTTGGTATTCTGGAAATGGCACTTGGTAGCATGGGTTCCTCCTCGAGTATCGCACACAGGCGTCGAACCGTCCTTGTGACACGCTTCAATCGTACAGCATTCTCCTTTAACGAAAGTTGAGTAGAAACTTGTATAAAAGTAGTATCATACAGTACCTTTCCTCTTTTACACTACTAATCATAATATAAGTATTATATTCGTTGATATTATTAGTTCTTATTATTGTGAATAACACTGGACTTTGACTGGGCAGAGTGTATGTATGTATATATATGAAAAGTGAAAGTCCCTTTGTTATCTGATGGTAAGAACATCTTACTTGTTCGAGCAACACACTCCTCAACTGTTCTTTTAGAATAACATTCTGGTACGTCACTACTTTACACCTTCAAAAAGATATTTACTACTTCACACCTTCGGAAGGGTTAATTTGTACACCTGCTGTACACCTCCAAAAGATTGATTTCAAAGTAGATAAGTGTGCTGGAGCTCACTGTGAAAAACCAGCACCCATCCATTCATTATCCCTTATGTAACTTCGCATGGAGAATTGCTGCAATTATCAGTAGAGGACCTTTTGACCTGTTGTCTCTTATTTAATAGTTGATCGGGACGGACTTTGAGTTGGTTGGTATCCTGCACAATTCATGATGTATGACCCCCAACTTCCTCCCCCCCCGTCGACAAAAATTTTGTGAGTCCCAAATTTCTCCTTGAAGTTTCATCGACAGATGGTGCGATTTCGGACCAACCTGTGTGAATGACTGATAGCGCTTTCCTCATTGTTCTGTTCGTTATACATTTCTTCTGAAGGAAGTGGCACATGTCCCTGTGTGTTTGCCCGTCTGAGTCGCACACAACTCCTGAAAATTAGTAATTCATCACAACGTAACATATTCAGAATTCTGCCATCAGGCTAAGGTTGGGGGGAACATAATTTGTAGATAGCCGTCTGAAATGTTTATAACGACTAAGAATTATTTTGGGCGGAAAGCGGACTCGCAATTTTTTTTAAATGTCAGTCACTTCAAAAGTATGTTTCTTTGAATGTGGGCATACTAGCTATTCAAGCTCTGCAAGTAAGGACTCAAGAAAGCCTGAACTAGCTTCTTTCTCAGGATTGTTTACAAGCTTGAATGAGTATGTTGTCTTGGTATGAAAATATAGCCAGAGAGTTAATGAATCTTCCCGGACTGTTGTTAGGAGGAGTACAAGAATTCCGTGGTCGACTTCATTACGGGTTTGCGTTTCATCTATTGTGTAGCCCTGAAGATCAGTGTGTTCCACACCCTATCGAATTGACTATCTTTTATTTCCCTAGTGAATCTTATCACACAGTTTCATTGCATACTGTTTGATTCCACAGAAGAAATGCTTTTCAACCATGTAAACCACACCTTAATTTTCGTAGCAATTTTTTTTACCTTTTGATGAAATTTTTTCGTCCTCTTTCGTGCCGTTCTTTTCCTTACCGGCTTATCTCTACATCCCTGGAGGCAGGATGATGCTTGCACGGATAATGCGATAAATGGGAGGAGCCGACTACTTGGCAAAATGCCAGATCTGATGGCTAACCGTGCTCCCCGGCCGCGCTTTTGCGGTAAGCTATTTCGCAACCTGCGCCGATAGGTAAATTGCAGAATGCCTGAGTTTTCCAATGCTCTGAAATAACATTGTAATCGGCTCCTCAAGCTATAGAAGATGGTAGTACGAAAACTTGGAAAAGCTTCATTGCAAAAACTTTGTTTTTATGGCATGCTCTCCAATTTGGAGACACATTTCTTTATGCTCTGAGAAGATAACCGTAGGATCTTAATCGATTGTGGACTACATTTAGTTCTTTACAGGGATAATGTGGCCACTTGTTCATAGTGTCTACTCTCTTGAGCGGCCCTATACACTCGATGCGGTACATATTCGTAACTAAAATACCTTTTACTCCCTTACCAAGGCAAATTTTACGGCTGCAACGTACAGTGGTCGATTACCCAGAAGAAATACTTTTACATGATATGGTACACCTCTCGACGATAACTTTGTTTTACTAACTTGGTTACCTCCATGCTCCTCACTAGCTGGTTCCTAAGCCTTCAACGGCAGGTATCTGCGCAGGTAACGAAAATAGCCCTCTCAGCACCGGCAATGAAAGAAAATGGTTAGAAAGTGATTTGGCACTTTGCCAAGCTCCTCCTTTTTCGCTCTGTGCTGCGTGCCAATCACGGATGTCGTCGCTGCTGTATAGGATTTGGACAATCGGCCGTTCGACAGGAGGTTGAAAAGGAAATAGAACCGAATTTTCACCGAGTGGTGATCAATGTATCAATGAATAGCTTTTCTTATGCTGAACCAAACAGTATACCTTGGGAATTTGTAGTTTGCTTTGGTAATGAAATAAGAAGTAGCCAAATCCTTCTTCCTGATCATTAACTTGTTCAAATACAGATATACTCTTCGGTTCTCCATAAAAAATATGACTATTAATTGATAAATGAATACTTCTTCAATGAGAGCTTCTTTCACCTTCCGTTTTCAACTATCTGCTTCACCAGCCGGTCATCGAAATCCTGTGGAACAGCGGCGGCTCGAATGATTGGCGCGCTACGGGGCGAGAAAGGGGTAGAGCCTCCTGCTTGGCAAGATGCCAGAACCACCCCATAACCTCGCTTCCACGATTCCGCCGCCAGTGCAATGGGCTATCCCATAATCTGCGCGGATAAGTGGAGTGCAGGAGGGAAACAGAGCTTTCACCGATCAGTTATATATTTACTCATTAACATCCTTTCTGTTAACAATAGTTAACCTCGCTTTGGGTAGGGAAATAATAGGTAGTCAATTCATTAAGGTCCGCCGAGTACAGATTTTAAGTGTCGCACAATGAAGGGTTGAAACCGAAATTCCTGTAAGCACTGGCTGCCTTCATAGTCCGCCGGGGTGCCGACACGCCGGCGGACTATGAAAGCAGCCATTGACCGTATTCCTGGATAATTCATCGATTCCTTTTGATATATGTAAAATTGGTCGGAATATCCCCAGATAGCTTGGCAATGCCAAATATGATGGTTACGCTCGCGCGTCACAACGGTGGGCTAGCCTACGCCGACAGTGAGCAACGCAGTGCCGTCGAGTGCTTGAGAATTGGCCAGTGAAGGAGGACTGAGGTGAAAACGGAAAGAAAACAAAGCTCCGATCGCCTCTTCTCGAACATGCCGGGTTGCCTTTAGTTTCACTTTATGCTCTTCTGTGGAAATAGGTCTCGGCATTGGCGACGACGGACACCAGCAATCGTGAGGCACCATTGGCCGGAGTGTATGGCATTTTGCCAGATAAAATGCTCCTCCCGTCGCATTCGACAATCACGTAAATTGCGCGACCACATTTTATCTCCTTAGCAACTCAAATCAAACAGTTTCATTGCATACTGTTCGGTTCCACAAAGAAATGCCATTCA